AAGTACATGTAGCTGAGAAATCTGTGGCCAAAATTTTAAAACTTTCCTTTAAAAGAGGAGACAAAATATTACATAAGAGAAAAGTTGATAAAACTCTAATTAGACTCCTCTAGTTCACTTACTCGTTTTCATAGTTAGAAAGTATACTAGTGTGAGTAGAGCCAAGCCCCTTAAGAGCACCCAGAGTCAGAAGCTTAAAATCCAAAGGAAGCTACGTGGGAAGAGCAAAGCTGCCCCTCTAAGCTTTCTGTCCTCACATCGGGGATATGAAGAAGGAAGTATTTTATGCTGTGGGAAGCAGACTGAAGAACCCCAAACATCTTCCAGTGAGGGGAAAGCAGAGCCCAGAAAAAGACAGGAACAAAGGATGAGCCTCTTGCTCGTTCTCTCTATTCCTAATGTCCCTGCAACTCCTGGGTTAAGAAGTGGAGGAGAGGGAGGTGATTACAAGAGCTCTGAATTCCCACCGGGCATAGCCAACACCCTAGGAAGGCAGCCCAGAGAGAAACAACTATCATCTAAGAAGATGCAGCAAACCTCAGTGTGCTTCATATATGCAGAATGAAGGGGTACCAATAAAAGTTTCAGAATCGGTTGCTGGGCTTTACCATTTCAGAATGTAAATGGAGAAGAATGTGTTTTACTGCTTTCCAAAACTAAAAAAAGACAAAAAGATCTCCAAAATGTGTGTGTTGAGGAAATGTTTGAATTAAATTCTTTCCCCAGCACAGTCACTGTTTAACTTCAAGCTATTTATTTATTTATTTATTTATTTATTTATTTATTTATTTAATGGACCATTAAATTGTTCTTATTTTTATACTTTTAGTAACTGTTTCAATCTCATTTTAAAGAAATGCACAAAGGACAATGGTTTTATTTGATGTGTGATTCTACTGGTCGTGGATGACATAACCAGCATGACAATATCACAGTATTCATGTGATTGCATAACTACACCCAACCAAGTACGGATGTGGTTATGCAACTTGAATATGGCTTTTTCAAGTAGTCCATATATAGTGAGAGTTTAGGGCAGTGTTTCTCAACCTTGGCAACTTTAAGATGGGTGAACTTCAACTCCCAGAATTCATGACTGGCTGGGGAATTCTGGGAGTTGAAGTCAACCCATCTTAAAGTTGTCAAGGTTGAGAAACACTGGCTTAGAGGATTAGATCAGAGGCTCACACTATTGCCCATAACCATCATGATAGCAACTGCTCTACTGCCCTTTGGCTGTCAGGATGAAGCACTTCTTCCATCCCTGAGGTACAATAATCCCACCATTCTGTCTTGCTTAGCTCTGAGGGTTGTTTATGGTATACAGTTCCAAAAGCCACCATCTACCTTTTCCTCACAAGTTTGGGCTTTTCAGAAATGCAGCATGAAGTAAGATTCAAAATCTTATCCCGTTGGGATTTGGGATGAGAGGATCTTACAACCAGCTGAAAGATACTAACTCTGAAGCTGAAAGCCGCCCATGGAGAAGGAGGAAATTCTTCAAATGGAATAGGCTTCTTAACATGGTCCTGCAGCAGACTGAATCTGTTATATGAAAATGTGAGGAAGCTGAATAGCTGCCCAAACTCTGAAGGGCTGAGCATTTCTTCCTTGTCTGTTCACACTATTTCCAACATGGGAAGAGGTTTTCTCTTCTGGGAGGACAAAATTCCTTGCAAAATGCTCCCTCTAATTTAGAGGAAGGCATATTTTCTTTTGATGAGATAACGGGCAAGCAGGCAATCCATCAATTGCAACAGCTGCATCAGGCAAGTCCTCCAGTTGCTGGTTGCTGTGCTGATTATGAACCTCCTTGATTCAAGGAGAGCAATGGCAAAGGGGAATCGACAAACAATTACCTGCTCGGAGGAGGATAACTTGGTCTTCCAGTGTCAGGTCTGAGAAGTGTGGGATCCTCTTGGCCCATTCGACCAATGTGAAAAGCTGTTTATCAGCTGCATGGCAAATATTGGTGACAGGATCATTGGTCTAAGGGAGAAACAAGTATATAAGCTATCAAAAGCACCTTGTTTGGGCTTTTTTTTTATAAGCCTAATTTTAGATACTAATAGTCCCCTTCTAAATCCTTTGTAAGAGTCTTCCTCTCACTATCTTGCCTGTCTACCCAAGGACAGTCCAGGGTGATGGAGCAGTTCCTGTCTTCAATTGGTATTTGCTGCCACCATCTTTTTTTCTCCCCTCCCCTCATCCAGGGGTAGAAGAGCAAGGAAAAAGAATGAAATTGCCTTTCTCTTAACTGAAAAGACTAAAGGGCAGACTATGACATGTTAACTGGTGGCCAATCAACAGAAGCCTAGGCCTTCTGAAGCACATTAGCAGATTATAGTCTCCAAGACACACACTGGCACCAAAAATATATGTTTAAAATAGTACTTTATTTACTAAGGCACAAAACAGCAAAGAGAGTCATGGATGAGTTTCTCATGGCTTAGACTAAAAACTATTGAGAGAACAATTTTAAATAAAGGGGTACCAGGAAGTCCATCCAAAATGGAGAACTAGTCTCAGGGAAAATAGCTGTTAAGGATTGGATAAGGCACATCCAAAATAGAATGAAATAGAAAATAGAATAAAATGGAATAAATAAAATAAAATTGAAATAAATAGAATAGAATAGAATAGAATAGAATAGAATAGAATAGAATAGAATAGAATAGAATAGAATAGAATAGAATAGAATAGAATAGAATAGAATAGAATCTCTACTGCACTCTGTCTGACTTCCTACTGTATCTACAAGTCTGGGTGTGCCAGATTTTGCTTCCTGAATTCTGAAAGTCTTATATTTGGGCTACGATATCTGGACTGCAACACCCCATTAAGACCACTATATGGTGGAAAAGGGATGTTATGTAATTATTTAATGCCATCTGGTAATTAACCTGATTTCTGTGACACAAACCTGGTGCCCTATTTAATTCCTCAGTAACCTGGAGTGTACTTACATTCACCCACCCCTCGCTGTTAAGTCCAGAAGGTTTCAAAAAACAATTAGGAATCCCCTGTTTAACTATGGGGGAGAATTGTGCTTGGTCAGGAATTTAGCCAATGGCTTTTCTGGGTTTCTGTACTAATGATAGAAGTATTAGATTATAAATCAATTGTGTGTGTGTGTGTGTGTGTGTGTGTGTGTGTGTGGTGATTCCACAGAGATCTTTGGAAGCTTGTCTTGCCAGAGGTGCCTTTTGAGCATTATTTTCTAAACTTCCCACCTTCTGCATTTTTTCATCTTCTTTTAAGATCAGTGCTGCTGCTGAGGAATGCATGAAAGCCAACCATGGTACAGGATTCTGGAGCAGGTCCAATCAATCCAGATCAAGCAAAAAGTCCCTCCTAGGAATCCAAAATACTGTCCAACTGCCAAGCATGCACATTGTAGGAACAGCAGCCAAGGCAGGAAACTTTGGCCATCTTTCTTCCATTCCATCTTAGGAGACAAACCTGGGCCAGCTTGGTTCCAATCCAGGAAATTTCCCACTGAGCAGGATGGACAATCATCTCTATGAATTTAACTACTGCCCTTTTGCCTGTGCTCGTCCTCAGTGCAAGTGTCACAGAATTCTTTGGCAGTTAAAAGATCAGAATTAAGCTGAACTTGTATTTTTCTTCTCCTTTGTGGCTTGAGTGAGGGGGGTCAGAGGTTAAGGTTTTATGATGTTGAAAGGAAAGCACTTGCACATGAACATTCCTGAGAGTAGGAATCCAACCTGAGCAACGATCAGTGAAGCAAGGTTTTTTAAGCAGAAAGGAGATGTGTTTAAAGTAAATACACTCTAGAACTAGGAAAAGCTTAGCACCTAGCTAATTACAACCTATCAGGAGGAAATCCAAAGAGCACATGCTCCATGTATGTGTGCCTGGGAAAAGAGGCAGGAGCAAGCAACCTCAGATTAGTACTCTCTTAGACAAAGAGCAATTGAGAGAAACCAAAATGGACAGATTCTATTGTCCTAACTTTCAAGTTTCTGCTTGTGCATGTTGTGAGAAGACCCAAGGTCTTTATTGTTAGCAGTTGTTAAAAAATATTTTCGATTATAAATATACAGTGCACTTGCCAAAGAGGTCATTTTTCTGAACATGCATGAAAGCATGTGTTTGTTGTTCAGCATATTCAGTGCTACTCATAAGCAGCCTAAGGAACAGCACCGAAATGGATCTCACCTACCGAGGTCTCAGCACTCACATCACCATATGATTCGGTTTTAGGTTCAACTGCCATTTCAGCTTCTAAAATCCTTTCCACAGGCATGTCCTCAAGACTACCACCATTGCTGCTTGTGGATTCCACTTCATTTTCACTCCGCTCTCTGCTTCTCTGCCTCTCTTCTTGAACCGCTAAGTGCACAAAGAAAAGGTCCACAAGAATTTTGTCATCCTCCACCCTGTGTCCTGAAATATAATCCTACCTTTATGCTATGACTTCCTTACATTTTCTCTGACTCCCAACCATGAGTGGTGTGCCTAAGTCCAGAATAGAGTTCTCCTCTTCCTTAGATTCTTTTCTATTTTCAGACAGTAATTCTAATAAGACTTTCCTCAGCAATGGCTATGACTTTTTAGTTTTAAAAAAAATGCACAAATGCTTGAGGAAGTGACAGTTTAGGGAAAGAAGTCACATTAGTTTAACACTTGGTAAATCTCTTTGTACTATATACCAAATGCCCTGCTTTGGAAAGAGTTTTTAATCTACCAATTTCATCTTGTTTCTTTTTACTTGCGGTGACTGCCTAAGATGGGACTTCAGAATATATTTCCTATATTCTTCAAACTGGCAGACCATCAAGTGTACTCCACTTCTGCCTAGCAGTGAACTGACTTTCAGATGGAGGAGGATTGACTCATCCATTCCAGACTTAGAACAAAAACAGTGGGGAACCTTGGCTAGTGTTAGCAGAGTTTCTTCTGGCTGATATACTTATGGATGGTTTGTATGTGCATATCTTAATATACATGTCCATATATGTGTATCAATGTGTATATCTTAGTAACATACCTTCTCTCTTCATGCCTGTTGCTAGGCATTTCTGATAGCGGCAGTACTGGCAACGGTTTCGCTGACGCTTGTCGATCAGACAGTCTTTGTTATCTCGGCATGTGTAGACAAGGTCCTTTCGTACTGTCCTCTTAAAGAAGCCTTTGCAGCCTTCACAACTGTACACCCCATAGTGCTTCCCTAGCAATACAGCAACACACATCAGCACATTCCAATTGGGATACTGGAGCAAGTTTAAATGTTTCTGCAGTTTTGAATTGGGACATTCCAAATGTCAGGGTGTTGTTTCGTTTCTGAACTGGCTAAATACAGAACCACTCAATTTTGCCTGAGGGGACTAACAGAACTGTCTAGGATATAGGCCCACATGTGATCAGAACATCCACCAGCAGGAGGGAACACTTAACACTTTTGTCCCAAGCAATTTTCTAATTAAAACTATATCACTATCCCAAACTGTTTCCCCTTCTACATGGAAAAAGATATGGCCTACATTCACACAATATAAAACAGGAGGGTACAAAATGTTTTAAGCTTGAAATTGCTGTTTTGTGTTTTCAGGCACAGATCAAAACTCATGTGTCCTGAGAGTTTTATTTCAATTTCAGAACAAACACACTATGGTCATTTCAAACAGTTTAAAATGTTCTGATTGTAGGAAATTATCTTAAAATGACCTGAAAAAAGCTTGAAACGAAATCCATGTTCCCCAAGAATGTTGTTTTGAGGTCAGAACAAAACACTCCAGTAACCTAAAGTTTTGTTCTGATAGGACATAGCCAACCTGACTAACCTGACGATATTTTGATTGGGATTGTTCTAAGGTCAAAGCAAACAATACTGTATTACCTGTTTTGTTCATATTCCTAGCCTGTAGGCAAAGAGGAGAACAGGGAAAAACTACCATATTCTGTATTTCTACGAAGTTGTAACAGCACAATTGCATTTAAATTACCAGAGGGCTACAGTAATAATCTCACAGTAATTCAAGGTGTTAGTCTTGGAATGAAGAACTGAGAGCAGAGATACAAGTAGGCAAAAGTAGTTGCAGGAATTATAGGTCTTAATTGGTATCCACAAGGGAAGGGTGTGTAATTGTGTGAGACATGGATGTTTTAGCGCTGAATGTCAGTTTGCAAGAGCTGTTAACATCTCTCACACAGCTCATGAAAGCTGAAAACTTGGCCTCAGACAAAAAAAATAGCCCAATGTTTTCAAAATCTGTACATTAAGAATTATTTTGTTCAGAAGGCAGAAACATTGGAGATACTTCCTGCAGTCACGACCAACTGAAAGTGCTATACAGAGGGAAGAATTCCAAGGCAATGTTATTTCATAATACTTAATACTGCCCAGCCAGTCACCTTCAAAAGCTGTGGGTACCTGATGATCTGTCTCCACAAATTGCACAGACGTGCTTGGTCAGGGATCCTGGGCTTGGGGATGCATAATTCATTGCTCCCATCCGTTGGAAATTTGGCAAAAGCTTGGTATCTTCAGAGCTGCCAGTCCTGTTTATTATACTGGACTAAAATGTGAGCATGTGGGGAAAAAAAGTAAAATGGATTACACAACCTCAGACTGATGTTCCAGCTGTGATTCAATATTCAGGACAGAGCTCCAAAGGAGAGTCTTCTGTTAGCATTTCCATATGGGAGCTGAACATATGAGCATCATGCGTTCTGTCATCAAGCAGACTTCATTCACAGCATATTTGTTAATGTAAGCTTAGAAAATACCTACTATAACCTGGCAATTCAAGGAACACAACTTTGTGCAGTGTGGGGATGAGAGGGGCAGGACAGGGCAAAAAAAGAAAAAGAAGTCCTTTATTTGCCGATTCATATAAACTCTAAATGTCTCTATGCGATGGTAGAATACAGCTTTTCTTTGCTTGGTTCTGCCAACTTTTAATAAAATATCTTATAGTACTAAAACTTCAATCTATATACCTCAAAGCTCTCATTGTGTTTATCTGTACCCTCAAGTTAGCCTAAACGGTACATTATATTGCAACAATTTTTGAATCAAGATACCTAAAATCTGCTAACTTAAAGAATGCATAAAACTCCAGGACCCATTACTCCTGTGGAATTGAAATTTCCACGATGTTCACACCAGTTTTATTCGCAAAGTTATGGCCATTGCAGTGTCCCTGTGGTCATGTAATTGTGATTTATGACACGCCCTGCCAGCTTCCCACAAGCAAAGTCAATGGGGAAGCCGGCAGGAAGTCGGAAGTCATTCTTGCCCTCACTGCTTTTTTGCCCACCCATGGTCATTCTGTTTATCTGTTTAGGTAAGTAAATATTGACTCATTATTGAAGTTTGTTTGCCACTACAATTATTTTTATATTTATGATATATACTCTTCTTATATGATCACAGGATCATCCAGCAATGGAGTAAAAAACTTATGGTCAGCCTAAAATTTAATGTTCATTCTGGTCACATCAGACTGCACTATCTTTCTCTCAAAAGATGACCCAAGGGGTCACAGGGTTGTCTAGTATACTCTTAAAGACCAGATACCTAAACATGGATAAAACCAGGATGTTTATATTTGTCCCAGAAATCTTGTTTCCACTGTGCAATTTTAATAGATCTCAAAAGAACTACCATTCCATGGAAAGTAGTTTGAAGACCACTTTTTAAATTCAGAAGCTTGCATTTTGGGTTCCAGATGCAAGACTGAGTGATAGATTGAATTTATCCTATTACTGTATACAGATGGAAAAATATGTATACTCTACTATCTTAATGCAATATTCTTCATGCACTAATTAATCCATTAATCATTTGAGAAGTCATGAAGCACGAAACAGAGCAACAATGCTACTAAATACTGCATTTTCCCAAAAGGAAGAAATATTGTCAATATTCTTTCTATCCAGCTTCAAAGTCCACTTCTTGCTGTAGTCTGCTTAACATTGCCTAGAGCAACAAGTGGTGGTCATAAAAATAAATATAACTGTGGAAGAATTATTCAAGTTTGTGGAATTTGATTATTGTGAATTCTGTTGTGAATGTACCTGATCTGTACTTGACAGGATGATGCACAAGTCTGAATGTAATTAATTTTCAGAGTTCCATTTCTCTGATTTTTAACATGAACAAATGTACCAAAGAATGTTTTAAAACCGTGTATTACAGGGTAAAACATATTTTAGAAATGCTTGCTTTAGGAAGGAAAATTTAATCACATTTAGGTGAAGCTTCACCCGGAATATAGTGGTGTGAACAGTGGTGGGCCTGCCTAGGCATGTCCATGTGACATCCCTGCTTTGCATTCTTCACAGGCTGCCAGTATGCTTCTGGGTGCAATTAAAGGGGCTGGTTGTCACCTACAAAGTCCTACACGGCAGAGGCCTCAGTCATCTGAGGGACCACTCTTCTCCTGTGATTTCTGCCTGGCCAATAAGAGCTGGGAGAGTGAGCATGCTCCAGGTCCTCTTGATAAACAGTGTCATCTTTGGGGACCAGGAAGCATGCCTTCTCTGTCACAGTGTCTGCTCTCTGGAATGAGGTTCCTCCCAAGAACTGGATGGCTCCCACCCTGGTGGAATTCTGGAGGGTCTTATAGACCTGGCTGTTCTTCCGGACCTTGGAGTAGGATGGATGGAACCTCTTGTTAGATGGGTGGGTCATATTTTGCATATGTTTTGGGGTTAGTTGTCCAGATTTGCCTTATCATATTTTTTATTTCTCTTATTATATTTGTACTTGCTTTTTAGCCACCCAAAATCAGTCTGGAGTTGAGTGCACCGAGGTTGAAACAAACAAACAAACAAACAAACAAACGCTGAAATAAACAGAACAGATTTACCAACACAGGAGAAACTGGTGGAACAGACTGATTGCCAATTCTAAATATTAAACATAAGTTTCTCAAGAAAAGATTTCATGGGCAAGGCACCATAACTTTAGATGAGGTTCTAGAAGCAACTATATTCAGCCAGTTTGGATAAGGAAACAAAAGAGTCACCCTCTGGTGGGGATGGGCGCCATATAAATTTAATAAATAAATAAACAAACAAGCAAATAAAATGGCACTGAATAATTACATGTTAATTTTTTACCCTAGCAGGGCACTTTCAACTAGTATATTTTCAAGGTGGGAGATAAAAAAGTCAACAGCTGTAGTGAGGATGACAGCCCAGGCAAATAGGAACCATTCCTGCAATCTGGCATATATACCAAGAATAAGCACTAGACTACTTCTTGTTCAAGGAGGAAATAAAAGAGAGAAACATTTTACACTAAAATATAACAGGTAGCAGTGTTTTTTCCACATGGAGTTCTTTTTTTTTTTAATAAATTTTTTATTCTTAAAAAACAATCTTATCAAACATTGAGCAGCGAGTCAAAACGGGTTACAAATACAAATATGCATAATCATATTATCATATTACCAATATATCCAAATAAGTATGTATCATCAATAAAAGTAAAACATCACATATTATCTAATTAAACTCCTTAACTTTTTC